CGACCACGAACGAGTCGTCGACCTGCGGCTCCAGGGGCGGCACGGCGGGCTCGTCGTCGTCCGCCGGCGACGCCGCGAACTCCTTCGCGCACGAGCTGCAGCGCATCGCCTTCGCCTCGGGGCGTCCGAGAGTGAGACCACGAAGGGAGAGGAGGCTCGATCGCGCGCTGGGGACACGACGAGGAGCGCTTGTTCGGCGCGGGCGGCGGTCGGCCGACCCGCCGGCCTGAGTCGTCCTGAGCTGCAAGTTGGCGGCATCAAGACCTGCATCATGCCTCGAGCCTCACTTTGATCGACGACGGCACTGCTTAAGTGGGTACTACGACGGGGGGACCGACCGATGCGGGGGCGGGGGGAGGGAAGGGGGCGGCGCGTGCGATCGCGCGGACACAGGGGGGCGCGCGCGGCCCGCGCCGGGGCTTCAGGCCTTCTGCGCGTGGGGCTTCGCCGGGGCCTGCGCGTCCTGCGGGAGCTCGTTCTCGTTGTTGTGCTTGAGGGTGCCGTGGGACGTGGAGCCGTGGGGCCCCGGCCCCGTGCGGAGGCCCATGGAGTCCATGAGGAGGTAGTAGCAGGAAGTGATGGGCGTGTGCTCGCCGCGCGTGATGCCCTGGATGAGCGCGTCGCGGGAGACGCCGAGGGCCTCGATGCGCGCGACGGCCTCGCGGCGCACGTCGTCCTGGGGGTTCTGGGACCGCGTGAGGGACCCCAGATTCGCGCCCGGGTACGTGCCGTTGGACGCGCCCGCGACGACGAACGGGTGGCGCCGGAGGTCCGGCGCGGTGACGCGGCGGTTCACGTCGACGACGATGCAGGCCTGCAGGAGCGCGACGGCGTTGGGGCTCAGGCCCTCGGGCAACCGGTAGGTGCCCCGCAAAATCTTGCGGTAGAGCTCGGGCTGGGACCGCGCGGCGAAGGGGAAGTGGCCGCCGAGGCACGCGTACGCGACGACGCCGATGGACCACAGATCGATGGGCTTGCCGCGGTACTCCGTGCGGCGCACGATCTCCGGCGCCATGTAGGACGGCGTGCCGCAGAAGAGGCGGAGCCGCCGGTCCGGCGCGCACCGCGTCGAGAACCCGAAGTCGATGACGCGGACGATCGTCCGCTTTTCGTCGAGGAACAGGATGTTCTCGAGCTTGATGTCGCGGTGCACGATGTTCAGCTCGTGCATGTGGTGGAGCGCCGTCGCCAGCTGGAGCATCAGGGGCTGGAGCTCCGGCTCCGCGATCTTCCGCTTCGCCTTGACGTACGAGCACAGATTCCCGCCCGGCAGGAACTCCATGATGAGGTGCGCGCGCCGCGGCGCCATGGTCTCGAAGGCCTCGAGGAAGCGGCAGACGAGGGGCGAGTCGCTGAGCTTCTCCATGACCCTGGCCTCCTGCTGCACGCGCTTCCACTGCTGCGGGTCCTTCATCTTCGACCGCTCGTACGTCTTGATGGCCACCTTCTGGCCCGTGAGCTTGTGCCAGGCGATGCGCACCGTGCCGAAGGACCCCACGCCGATGACCTTGCCGAAGCTGTAGAAGTCGGGCAGCCCCCGCCGGTTCTGCACGGAGCCCACGAGCAGCCGCGTGAGGTACTCGCGCTGCTCCGGCGCGCAGTGGTACGCGTCGCGGCCCGACGTCGACTGGCGCACGCCGCCGCCGGCGGACTGGGGCCGGTTCGTGCCCCCCTGGAGCCCCGGCGCGGTCGCGCCGCCCATGGACACCTTGGGCTCGTCGAGGCCGTTCGCCGTCGACCCCGTCGTCTCCGCGCGGCCGCCGTCCGCGCCCGACATGGCCGGCCGGTGGCCCACCGTGGGCTGGGCCGATTGGGGCCGCGTGCTGTAGCCGCCGCTCGACGGGTAGGCGCCGCTGGACGTGCCGCCGACGAGCAGCCGCTGGCCGTGCGCGTTCGACGACGCGGACTGGGGCCGCGCGGCGGACGCGGACTGGGGCCGGAGCGCGCCGGACTGCTGGTCGCGGTCGCGCTGCTCGCGCTGGTAGGCCGCGGCCTTGGCCGCGGCGGCGTCGCGGCCCGACGCGGCGCTGTAGGGCCGCGGGGGCGCGCCGCCGGACCCGTAGACGTGGTGCGGCTTGTCCTGGCCGTACGTCGCGCGCGGCGCGCCGCTGGAAGACCCGGGCCGCGCCGGGGGCGCGCCGTAGGGCCTCGCGCCGCGGTCCTCGAGCGCGCGCTGCTGCGCTAAAGCTCGTTGCTGCTGCTGCTGCTGCAGCAGCGCGTGCGACGTTTCGGTGGCGGTCGCGTCGACGCGATCGCGGTCCGCGCGCACGACCCAGTCGCGGTCACCGCGCGCGCCGTGGGACTGGGCCGACGCGGGCCGGTCGTAGGACTGGCCGTAGCCGGACGATCCCGCGGGCTTGTGGCCCGGCCGCTGGGAGCTCGCGGCGCCGGGGCGGTACTCGCGGCGCTCCGACGATTGAGCGGGCGCCGGGTCGCGGCCCTTGGACGCGGAGCTCGCGGAGCCCGGTCTGCCGAAGCCCGGGCGGTTCCGGTTGCTGCCGGCGCTGCCGGGCACGTCGGGTGTTCCCGGGTGGCGGCCGTTGAGCCACGCGGACACGGGCGCGGCGGACGCTTTGGCGGACGTCGGCCGCGGCTGCGACGGCGCGTAGCCGCCCCCGTTCCGCGCCGACGCGGCGCTCGCGGGCCGCGGCGGGCCGCCGCCGGACCGCAGCGGGTCGCCGCCGCCGCCGCCGGAGGCGCCCCGGCCGCCGGAGCTGCTCTGCGGCCGCGCGCCGGAGCCCGCGAACTGCGCGAACGTCCTCGGCCACCCGCCCTTGCCGTCGCCGGACACGCGCCGCGTCGCGCCGGCGGACCGCGGCCGCTGGCGCGTCGCCGGGTGCTGCCGCGGCTTCCCCGCGGGCGGCGGGCCCGTCGCGTACTCCACGGGCTGCACGCGCCCGCGGCTCGACCCGCTCCGGATGGCCGAGCCGATGCGCATGGTTGCGTTTTTTGGTGCGCGCCGGGCGGTGCGCCGAGCGACGGGCGCCGCCGCGCCGCGGGGCGCCGGAGCCCGGGACCGACCGCCGAGAGGCCCGGCTGGGCCCGACGAAGGGGCGGGGCGGGCAGCGTAGCGTCCCGGCTCCGCCGTTGATCAAGCTGCCCGTCTGCAAGGTAGGGATGTATCCCTCGAGGTCGGAATTGACACAAATCGTGGCAGCCTGTATAACTTCGACCGCGGCCTCTGGGACGAGCTTAAGTCCCCTGCGTATGCAGGGGCAGTCTTCGAGCCGAAGCGGCGGCTGCCTCAGAGTTCTCGCAAATCCATGGCGAACGCCGCGCCGACGAGCGCCGCGCCGACGAACGCCACGCGGACGCTGCTCATCACCCATCCGGCCTGCGCGGGGCACCACATCGCGCACCACCCCGAGCAGCCGAAGCGCGTCGTCGCCATCGAGGCCGCCGTCGTCGCGGCCTATGGCGACAGCAAAGACCTGGCCCGCGATGCCTGCCCGGCCGACGCGCCGCGGGACGCCCTCCTGCGCTTCCACAGCGAGCGGCACGTCGCCAGGCTCGAGGGCCTCTTCGACCGCGTCGAGGCCGACGCGCGCGCGCCGCCCTTCGACCCCGCGCGGACCAAGAAACGGCGGCCGATGCTCTCCATCGACGACGACACGGCGGTCATGGCCAAGTCGCGCGCGGCGGCGCTGGCGTCCTGCGGCGGGGCGATGCGGGCCGTCGACGCCGTGCTCCGGGACGGCTACGGCAACGCCTTCGCGTGCGTGCGGCCGCCGGGCCACCACGCGACGCCGACGCAGGCCATGGGGTTTTGTCTCTTCAACAACGTGGGCGTCGCGGCGCTCCACGCGCGGGAGACCTACGGCGTGCGGCGCGTCGCCGTCGTGGACGTGGACGTGCACCACGGCAACGGCACGGAGGCGTATTTTCGCGACGACGCGGAGCTGTTCTACGCGTCGTTCCACCAGGGCGGCGGCGACTTCTACCCCGGCACGGGCCTCACCCGGGGCTCCGCGAAGGTCGTCAACGGCGCCAGGGTCGCCGGCGAGACGGGCGTCGCGCGCAACGTCGTCAACTGCCCGCTCGCCAAGGGCGCGGGGCTCCGCGGCGTGCGGCGGTGCCTCGCGGACAAGATCCTGCCGGCGCTGGCGACCTTCGACCCGGGCCTCGTCATCGTGTCCCTGGGCTTCGACGCCCTCGCCAAGGACCCCATCGGCGGCCTGGACCTCGCGCCCGGGGATTACGCGGAGATCACGAGGCTCGTCGCGGCCGCGGCGCCGGCCGCGAAGCTCGTCTCCGTCCTCGAGGGCGGCTACGACGTCCGCGAGATCTCGCGCGCGGCCGTCGCCCACGTCTCCGCCCTCCTGGACCTCGCGCGCGCGCCGGACGCGCCGCCGCCGCCGTCGCCGCCGCGGCGGCCCCGCGGCGCGTCGGCCATCAGCGACGACTCCTCGGGCGAGAGCTGGGGCTCGGGCCAGGAGTACGGCGCCCAGAGCGACGACAGCGACGACCTCGGCCTCGGGGACCTCGCCGTCGCCGACGACCCGCCGCCGCCGCCGGAGCCGGCGGCGAAGCCCCCCGGCGCGCTCGCCCGGGCCTTCGCCTTCCTCAAGAAGACTTAACCCGCGACACACTAGTGGCCGTCGTGGCCGTGGTCGAGGGCCTTCGGGTACCCCTTCTCGATGGCCGGCGCCGCGACCGTCTCGTCCTTGCTCCGCTTGAGCCACTCCACGTACTGGCACTTCTCGTACTCGTGGCGGTAGTGGCCGCACTCCCAGGGCATGTAGAACGTCTGGCGCCGGCACCTACGACGAGGGGACTCGAAACGCGGCGTCCCCGCGCCGACCGGCGAAAAACGGGTCCGCGGCCGCGCGCCGCGCGCGGCGCGCGCGCGACCGCGCGAGCGGCCGCGTCCCCATCTCGCGGCGGCGCGCGCGCAGTCCGGGCGCGCTCCTGGGGACGCGGCGCCGCACTTGTTCAGGGGAATGAGGAGGTGCGCGCAGGCGTCCCGGTAGGCGATGAGGAGTCCCGCGTCGCTCATCTCCTTCCGCGTCGCGGGGCCCTCGGGCAGAGCCTCATGGTGGCCGCCGCCCATGTCAAAAAATCGATCGAGCGGCGCGGTTCGGCGCCTTAAGGTGGTGGACGAGCAGGCGCGCGACGGCGTAGGAGCAGCCGAGGCGGAGTGAGCTCCTCGTCGCCACCGCCAGGTTGTTGATGAGGTTGTTGCAGTCTTTGAAGCGAGGAGTAAGCCGGGCGGACACCAGGGCGGACACGGGCGGAATGGCGGACGAGGCGTCGGACTGCTCGCCCTGCTGCAAAGCACCTGCATTAGCCGATGGCGGCCGGGAGGCCCGAGGACACAACCGGCCATCGGCGCGCGTCGACGCCCGAAGCCGCTGTTACGAGCTCGCGACGGGCCGCGGGTCCAGCGCGAGGACGCGGCCCTGCACCTCCTTCATCTTGGCCGAGGCCTCCTTCTCGTACCGGCGCCGGAGCTCGAGGAGCTTCTGCTGGTGCGCCGTCTTCTCCCGCTCGCGCGCCTGCTTGCCGTCGCCGCGCGCGAGCTTCCGCCGCGTCGCGTCGACGGCGTCCATCTCCGTGAGCAGCTCGCCCGCGGCCTTGAAATCCTCCCCTTTCAGGGCGGCGTCGTGCTGTGTCGAGAGCTCGGCGTGTCGGGCGGCGAGGGACTCGACGGTCTCGCCCTTGGCACCCGTGGCGCTTTTCAGGGGAGACGTGCCCTGCGCCTCGACGAGTTCGCAGTCGGCCGCCGGCAGGTCGGCCTCCGTGTTGTCGTCGAAGTCGATGCACCACGTCGCGTCGTCGTTCTGCACCAGGAGCATGCCGAGCTTCCCCAGCGCGCGCACGCGCGCGCCGGCCTCCATGATCCGGGCAGCGCTTTCACCCGTTTGGTGCACCCACTTCACCTTGGACCCAACGGGATACTGAGACCGCATGCGCGCAGATCACCATAAAAGAACCGCCCCGCGCCCTACTTCCGCGCGGCGGCGGCGAGGGCCGTCTCGATGCGGTTCCGGTCGCGGAAGTTGCGCGAGATCACGAGGAGCGCGAGCATCTGCTGCTTGAGCTGGTTGAGGTGGCGCCGCGCGAGCATGCCGCGGGACGCGGCCTGGAGCTTGACGAAGTCCGGCGACGGCTTCGACGCCTCCGTGTGCTCCGGCACGGCGTCCAGCGGCAGCCGGCCGTCGAGGACCATGGACGCCGCGCGCTTCTTCGGCGCCTCGGACCGCCGCTGGATCCAGTCGCGCGACCGCGCCTCTAAAACGCGCGCGGCCTCGCGGACCTTCATGTAGTTGCGGCGCACGATCCAGGCCTTGACGTTCGTCGTGATGACCCGGGCCTCGTCCTCGAGCTCGCCGCGCTCGTCCGCGGCCATGAGGCTCATCGCGACGTCGAGCGACGCCTCGTCGCCCGGGGGGCCGTCGGAGATGACGCTCGACGTGCCCCGCGACTCCGCGGCGGAGAAGGCCGCGCCGTCGTAGGCGCCGAAGGCGACGTGGGGCCCGCCGACGCGCGGCGACGGCGCGCGGTCGTCGCCGAGCGGCCGGTCGCCTGCGCCGAAATCAACCATTGAGCTGGGCATCCCGACCAAACTTCAGAACTCTCGAGCTCGGTCGAATCGACGTCGATTCGGCTGATTTTTGGACGAATCGATCGCTCTCGTCAAGTTCTCGAAGCACCGTCAAAATCTCGCGTCGAAACGGTCGTTTTCGTTCGCATTGAAGATTTGATTTCCTCCCGGCCGGTCGCCGGGCGCGTTCCGCGCGATCGCGAGCGCGCACTTCTCGTGGAGCGACAGCGACGAGAAGGCCGTGTGGAGCAACGCCGCGCGGCTCACGCCCGGGGTGACAACGTCGGCGTCGTCGTCGGGCCGCGGCGCGCGCGCGCCCTCTACCATATAGCCGCCGGGGTCGGCCGCCTCGGCCTCGGCGAGCACCGCGGCGACCTTCGCGTGGCCCCGCGCGAGCGCGCGGCGCCGCGGCGTGTCGCCGCGGGCGTCGCGCGCGTTCGGGTCGCCGCCGCCGCGCAGCAGCGCGCGCGCGGCGCCGACGTGGCCGCCGCCCGCGGCGAGGTGCAGCGGCGTGTCCAAGCCCCGGCCGTTCGCGTCCGCGCCCTTGTCCAGCAACGCGCCGATCAAGCTGTCGAGGTTGTAGAGCGCGCAGTAGTGCAAGAGGCTCAGGCCGTGCCGGTCCGGCGCGTCGAGCTCGTCGAGGAGCTCGGACGAGTTCGACGCGAGGCGCGACATCTGCCCCACGACGCGGAGCATGAGCTGCTCCACGGCCGCGTCGAGCTCCGCCTCGCTCAACGACGCGAGGGCGTCGGCGTCGAGCTCCGCGAGGCCCTCGGAGCTCATGGCCGGCAGCGCGGAAGGCGCGTCCGCCGGCGGCCGGAGCACGCGGACCTTCGTCGGCCGGTCCTCGCGGTCGCTGTCGCAGGTCGGCGCCGTCTCCGCCGTCGTCACGGACACGGACGACGCCGCGTCGTCGGCCGCGAGAAGTTCGGGCGACGCGCGGCCGCCGACCCAGGCGACGGCGCCCGCGGCCGCGGCGCTCAGGGGCCGCGGCGCGAGGCCGCCCGCGGCGACGGCCGCGACGACGTCTAAAGTCGCCACGCCCGGACACGCCCGCCCGGGGAGTTCGCAGCGCAGGCACATGGCGTTGGCGAGGCGCGCGGGCGCCAAAGCCTCCGCGCCGTCGTCGAACGCGAAGCGCACGGCGAGGCGCTCGCCCGCGCGGAGCACGGGGTCCGCCTCATCTGTCAGATCCAGGGGCGCCTCGAGGGCCACGAGGAACCGGTCCTTGCGGTGCGCCTGGCAGGCGACGTGCGCCGGCGCGACGTCCGCGACGCGGCACGCGGGCGCGGCGGCCGCCGCGCGGTCCTCCCGCGCGAGCCGGCACTCCGCGTGCGCGACGCCCCGCGCGGCGTCGACGGCGCCGGCGACGCGGCCGCCCGGCGCGTCCGCGGCCACGGGCTCCGGCGACTCGTCGTCGAGCAGGGACGCCCAGAGCTCCGCGTCGTCCACGCCGTCCTCGTCCATCGGGGCCGGTTCCGCCAAGGCCAGCGACAGCGCGACGTCGTCGCGCGCGCGCCGCGCTGATTCCTCGCGCCGCACGGTGCGCGCGTCGGCGTCGCGCCGCACGCAGAGCCGGTAGTGCACGAGGCTCAGCGCCGCGAGGTCGTCGGCCGACTTCGGCGCGCCGTCGCACTCCGCGAGGTGGTACGTCCGCCGGTGGAACGCGGCGACGTCCGCGGAGTGGGCGTGGGCCGCCGCGACGCGCGGCAGGCCGCCGACCCGCAGCTTGACGTGGTCCTCGCGGATCCGCGCGCCGCTCTTCCGCGTGAGCCAGTTGTGGCCGTCTTTCCGGAACCGCTTGCACGTCCGCCGGTCGAAGAGGAAGAGCGCGCCCGTCGGCGGGAGCCGCGGCGGCGCCCCGGAGACGAAGAGGCCCAGAGGCTCGTGGCGGCACAGCACGTCGAACACCTCCTCGGGCAGCAGCCACCGCTGCTGCGCCGCCGCGGCGTAGAACTCGCGGCTGTTCTCCATGGGAGGGGGCTGCCTCTGTGTTGGGCTGCCTCGCCCCGCCGCGGTCGCTGGTCCGGCACGCGTTTCGGTGTACGCCCGCCGGGCCGGAGTCTGGATTCCTCGCGCCGGGGCGTGGCGTGTGGCGCGCGGGTGGAGAGAGGAGAGTTGGCATTTCAGCAACTTTACGGCCACGCTTCGCTCGGAGTCGAACATGCCGCTCCGGAGAGTCCAGACGGTCTGGGCCCGAGAGCAGGACGCCCATGGACGCGCAGCAGTCGCGCGCGTGGCGCCGGCGCATCGGCGCCGCCCACGACGCCGCTACCTGGGACGAGTTCTGGCGGTCGCTGTCCGACGAGGCGCGCGGCGCGGCGCTCCCGCCGGACGAGGACGCGGTCTGCCCCAAGTGCTCGCGGCCCGTGCGGCTGCCGCGCATCAAGAAGATCAACCAGCAGAAGAAGCTCCAGTACGGCAAGGAAGCGCGCCTCAAGAAGAACCAGGCGAAGCGCTGCGCGGCGACGTGCTCGAGCGACTGCTTCGAGCGCGCCGCCGTCATCGTGATCAACCGCTGGATCGAGCTCGGGCGCGAGCCCATTCAGGAGGAGGCCGCCGACGCCGGGACGGCGCAGCGCGTCGCGCGGCCCGCGCGCGCTCCGCGCGCCGCCGCCGCGGCGCCCGCCGCGGCGCCGCCGCCGGACGTCGACCTGGCCGCCTGCGCCATGTACACGCGGGACGACGCGGCGGACGCGCCCTCGTCGCGGCCCGCGCCGCGCGCGCGCGCGCGACCGAAGAAGGTCGTGCTGCGCATGGGACCCGCGTCGTCCGCCGACGGCGCGGCGGCGCCGGTCGCGCCCGCTCGACCGCCGGAGCCGGCGGCCGCCGCGCCGCCGGAGCCGACCGCGGCCGCCTGGCCTGAGCTCCCCGGCGGGACGCGCCCCGCGGCTCCGGCGTCGGCCGCGCCGCCGCCGCGGGCGCCCGCGCTTCCGCTCCCGGTCTCTCCGCTCGTGTCCGCCGCGGCGCCGCCCCCGGCGCCGTCCGTGTCGCCGCTGGTGACGGCCGCGCCGCCGCCGCGGGCGCCGGAGCCGCGGGCGCCGGAGCCTCAGGCGCCGCCGCCGTCTCCGCTGGTGACGGCCGCGCCGCCGCCGCGGGCGCCGTCGCCGCGGGCGCCGTCGCCGCGGGCGCTGGAGCCACAGGCGCCGCCGCCGCGGGCGCCGGAGCCGCGGGCGCCGGAGCCGCGCGGGGAGAGGTTACACGGCGTGGTCGTCTTCGGCAAAAGCCCCGACCGCGGACAAGCAGGCCAGGGCGACCGGCCGTACGTGACGCCGGACGACGGCGGGCCCGACGTCCTCGTCCGCGGCGTCCGCGGCCTCAGGCCGGGGGTTCGCCTCGAGTACGCGCTCGGCCGCGAACGGGGCCGGACGGTCGCGGTCGACGTCGTCAAGCTCCCGCGCGGCCCCCCGCGCGCGCCCGCGCCCGCGCCGGCGCGCCGCGCGCCGCCGCCCGTCGACGCCGCCCTG